AAAAAATGTTTATTTTTGTGCATCGTGGAACAATGGAAGGTACATGAAACTTTATTGAAATTGTTGGATCATTTTTCCTTAGATTTGTTTCTTCATTTTCTTTCCTCCAAAAAAAGAGCACCGCAGGACGGCGAAAAAAAAAGGAACGCCGTTGCCGGGGATCGAACCCGGGTCACCCGCGTGACAGGCGGGAATACTTACCACTATACTACAACGACTGGCTTGTCTTATAATCGAATGGGAAGTATAACATCTACCGTAGTAGCTAGTTGCTTCAGGCCTGACCAAGCAGCTAGGCACGCTCGCTCTGTTCTTGCCTTCTATATTCCGCCACATACAGAGTATCCCTATCTATTTTTTCATCACTGCAAAAAAAAAGGTCCCCTTTGTTCTTTTTCATGCGTCGCAGAAGCACTAGCAGCACCGCAGTCCACGTGATATGTGGCTTCTCCGTCATGAACTCCCCCACTGGAAGCTATCTTTCTCGCACGCCAGGGACCAGTGCGAGGCTTCTCCATAATCAACTCCCCGACTGCACTGCACACATCTTTCTCGTACGACAGGGACCAGTGCTCCACCTCCACCACCGTCATGACCCTACTCTCATGAAGGCGGGGGCGAGCACCACGAGTTGTCGGAGCTATGGACGTCCACGCAGCGCAGAGTTATGCCAGACTCGATTTTGGGATGTGGAGGAGAAGGCCGGAGTTGGCCTAGAGATGCCATGCTCACCGCCACAGTCCAGGCGCATAATGTAAGCTTCCAAGGTAGAGGGGCACTTTCTAAACATCTGATTAGCTGGTAGTAGTACCTTGGTCCTTGGGAGTATTTTGGTTCACTTACAACACACCCTCACCCAATCTGCCTTAGTTGAGAGTTGAGACAAAGCAATGTTAATCCAAGTGTGCTAGAAATTTGCTTATATTTGGCCTCCACATCTTCTTCCTTTCCTTCATCCTTTCCATGTTGGAATGGAACCCACAAATGATCCTCAAACTCAAAGCATTGCCAAGCCTAATAGCAGGCTGCTCCGAGTTTTCATCAATTGTAGTTTTATTGCGTAACATAGAAATGTCCTTACTATTAAGGTGAGCGTATTTTCGTTTTGATGGCAGACTCCCTAGACCACTACGGATCTCCAGAACTGATGGAAAATGGCAAAAGATGAGACTGAAACACCAAAGACAATTCGCTCATAGACAAGCTGAAAGATGCAGCCATATATACAGGACTAGGAAGATTTAACATACAAATAAGTAAACGCAACCGTAACCAGGCATATATACAAATCGAGCGTCTAGGAAAGGCTGGCTGGGTAGTCATACACCGAAACATGACAGCCGAGCTGAAATCATCGGTATGAGCTACGGTAGTGACTGACTACTCAGAAGCTATAAATGCAGATGTAACCAGATATACAGATGAACGGACGGTGGTTGTACGTTAAATCATGAACACACATTCCACTACTCAGCATGCCTCTTGGCCATCGTCTTCTTGAGGCCTTTTAGGATCTTGGAGAACCAAAGCACATTCATCACGAAGATTATGCAAGGCGCAGTAAGTACCAGAAAATAGCCGAAGGTGTTCATCTTCTTAATCTGTCATCGATGAACAAGTATTAATCAGAATTATGTGTGCGGTAGCTGTGGTGTATAGTGAACTCGGATGAACCGTAGTGTACCTGATCATAATGTACAAACATGTGATAGAACAAGTACATGAACAGAATTATCCTTGCAACCTGCATGAAGGGATTTGTTTCGAGATTAGGAACCAATTGGTTGTAATAAAAATACATCATATTTGTTTTTTAGACCATATGCATCATAATACTGATTTAGCAAACAGATTTGAGTAAATCTGAGTATTTCCATCAGTGGTCACGTTATGGCTGTAAATTTGATAATTTTATTTCAAGTCCCCCAGGAGTTACAAAGGCCAAGGTTGTCCTTACAAACAACCCAATACTTAAATGACCAATCAAAACTTATGTGATGTATGCTACCAGTTTGAAAGGTGAAATTCAGAAGATCGAATGGATAATTATTCCCTTTGTGGTTTGCAACAGCAAATTCCAGTTTCTAGTGTAGGACAAACAGACTTATCACTTATGTATCAGTAATATATCCTCGAAGCAAGCCACTTGTCAGATTCAAAGCAGTCAACAGTCAACACAACTACACCGATTTGAAGGCTAGGACACGTTGTGAATCAGAAAATTGTAGGACTACTGCAGTCAATAATCTTGGATGTGGTTAGCGTACTATAGACCCAAAGTGGTCGGACCCTTCCCCGGACCCTGCGCAAGCGGGAGCTACATGCACCGGGCTGCCCTTTTTTTTTTGGTTATACAAGTTCAATGTTTTTCTAAACATGTATACGCTGTGTCATTTTATAAGTGAATAGTGTCTTGTGCTTACCAGCCAAGCAAGAACCATTGCAAATTAGTGTCGATTATAAGCAGATAGTGGCTTGTGCTTACCAGCCAAGTAATAACCATTGCAACTCCGTTAACAAGGTAAGCTTTGGAGTTCTTCATTCCAGCAACATCAAGGAACCTTGATGAGACCAAGGGACATAATATCAGTTTAGGCAGATTGAAGTATGGCAATATATAAACAACAATTGTGAACTTGTTCATATATACAAGTTACCATCTTAGATTGATTCCTGGCGTTGTAGTCTCAGTGATGAGACCCATGTATATGTATACATGCGCTTCCCCAGAAAGCATAGCGTACATAGTAGACATAAGTGACAGCATGTGGTGGATAACCTAAAAGTAACAATAAAGACAGAAAGGCAGTTCAGAAACTCGTCGAATGACAGTAGCCGGCAAAGGTTAGTCAGTTAGAACGCGGAACATGAGGAGAAGGGTAAGGCATGACTAAAGTATATTTACTTACATACTCCATTCCACCAAGGGCAGGGTAAAGCCAATATATCATGGCAATGTCTGTAATGAAATACCCAATAGAGACCTGGCAAACATGAGATTCAGCTCAGAACGAGGCAATGGAAAGATAGAGATGTTAAACAAGAAGTTTTTGGTGCATTTTCTCGAGAAAATAAAATGAAGTAATAGCATAATACACATACCCCTAATGTAAAACTGGAGAGGCTTGAACTTCTAACTGTTACTGGTCCATCCAGCTGGTCAGAAAACATGCCCGAGAAGAACACTAGGTATACTGACATAACTGTAATGAATATTGCATGGACAGTGGACATGCCCCTGGTAGAAGATAAAATGTCATAAATATTATGTATACCAAAGGAGGGAGTTGGATACTAAGTTGTAAAATTAATCTCACCTGTTGTTCCATTCAATCTTCTGCATATTGTTAAGAGAAGCATAACCTTTGAAGTTAAATGAACTGATAATGCGCGTGAAATCGTAGGCCTGAGTTAGCAAACACAAATAATATTATGTAATAGTCAAGAAACTTTTACAATGATTGAAGTTCAGGTATGACAAATGCATTTACGAAGTTCCATTGAGAATTAAGATTCACAGAGACAACACAGGCTAGAAATAATGTTCATTGCTAGCATCACACTACCCTATTGCAGCGAGCTACTCAAAGAATACCTTTGTAATGACTTAGCTCAG